CCCAGATTACGAACCATCATTGTGGCATGCTTTCCAAGTTCACTTTCTTTTATTTTAATATCTGGTCACCAGAGCTGAACGRAGCAGTGATTTGACCATTACTGTAAGAAAAATGCAGCCTCTGGCTTCCCAGTGAGTAGCCCATTGTAGGTATTTTTCAGCATCCTTAGAAGTGTTAATAGGTACCATTCTGATACTAAATTAAAACCTAGCAGTATGACAAAATGAAAGTGTGGTACAAGAAAAAGATATTTCAAAGTGTAAATCTACATGCTTTTATCTRTATTTATAGAAATTGGAGTGTACTAAAGTGCTGCATGAGAAATTAAAATTAATCGCTTGAAGTGTACAAACTTGAGTACGTGTCACTGCATTTTTTTGAATGGAACTATGATTTTTCTTTTGCCTCTAACTTACATAACACCATTTCTGTTATACAGCATGTTCTGAGTTTGGGGTTTATTGGCTTGAAATAYGTGTAGCTTTGTGTAGGGAATGCAATACCTATAAATATAATTGTTAACGAAAATATGGGTGCTATTGCTTGTGGCAGGGGAAAAAAGAAGAAAGATTTACAGATTAATATAGTTTGTTATTACTATATACAAATACAAATTTATCTGCTTACCAGCTATCTGTCAGCACATAACTTTGCATGCAATAGATGCATGTTCACTGTTGTTCAAAAATGGGCATAATTGAGTTTCTGTTTATTAATCTAAAAGGATAATTTTGTCCCTTTTTCCTTCAAGTTTGCAATTTATCCTAATTTTTCCTTACAGATCTTCCATTGTCTTTCGTCCCTAATTCTARCATTCCAGGGAGAGTTCACAATTTCTTTTTGTTTCTCTACTGGACATTGTTGAACGTGCCCCATTTCACCCAGGATTTGCTTTTACAGGGTCTCCTGYGTGCCTCAGTACATCCCTTAGTGATGTTCTTCTGTAAATTTCTGCTGCTTCTATTTTGGATCATTTATAATTAGGGTACCTAAATGCAAATCACAAATGGGGTGACCACAGGCAGAGCCCAGCACTTCAGCATCTCTGTCTCAATTATTTTCTGAGTTTATTTTATTCTTCCCCTTTCTCATGCTTACTTGCCCCAAGAACATGCCTGCATTTTGACCCTTTCACCCTCACTTCTATTCTGAGTAGAAGGGCACAATAAGGATGGTGGCTCTATTAGGAGAGGACCTTATTGAATCAGCAGGCCCTAAGCATCAGTCAGGGACATTTCCTGGACCCTTCCTAATTGCAGTTCTTTTGAGAACCCTTCCCACTCCTTGAGGAGCAGAGCATCACCTCAGCTTTCATTAGCTGTAGTTGTTTATGGTTGTTTTGTCATTTAAACTATTTTTAACCAAATCAAACCCAACCACCCCAGAAACCTGCAGATTGAGAAAAAGAGTTGAGAGAAGCTTCTAGAGATTTGGGGCTGCTTCTTTGCACTGGAGAGGCTGCTGTTGTGCTGTACCTGCCCTATGGTGGTTATTGCCTATCCCAGGCACCCTTCCTCATAGCAGTCATGCATCAAGATGACAAAAGACTAACCTACAGTGATAAAATATGTAAAATATGAAGAATCACAGTGCTTCTTGCTTTTAATTGGAGGAGCAGGCAGTAACTGGGCTTAGCTGGGAGGACTCACARGTTTTTGCCACATGGGTGGTACAASAAAGTGAGTCAWGATAACATGTTTCTCAAACTGGCGAGCTTCCCAGCCATATCCCGGTTGTTTTCCTGATGCCTCTCTGTTCCTGCTGACCCTGCCAAGCCCCATGGCTTCAGCACAGCAGAGCCCGTGCTGCTGTAGTTCATGGACCCCCAGGCTGCAAATAATTTTCCTCGGCAACCAGGGCTATCTGGCTCTGCAGTCTCATATATTATTGATAGCTGTGATTTTGCATCATGGTCTCCTCTCCACTTGTGAAAATCCTGGATGAAACACAGAGTGACTCCCTGACTCCCTGTGACTCCCTGTCACTTATTGGTGATCAGTGGTGGGAGACACTCTATAGACAAAGTCCGTCTGTGAAGGAGAGAGTAGCTTTAGTCTGAAAGAGAGCCAAGAACAATGTATCAATGTCCATACATGCTTAGCTCTGAGGATTGACTCAGGATATGTCTTTCTGAGGTGTAATTTTGGTAGTTGATGTTCTTTTTCTTCACTAAATGTAGCTGCTATGAGAAGGTGATTGGTGGTCCTGTTGTTTTGCCTGTATTTTTGCTGCTTGTAGAACAGTTAATTCAATGCTTTSCTAAAGTCTTTGGTAAAGTTTCTATTGTTGCCATGACACAAACACAAAAATAGAAGCACTGTTGTCAAGGTGATTTAGCCAAATTACTACCATCCTGTTATTCCCTATTCAGTTAGAAATGATGTGAGAATTTTGGTGGTTTTTTAGAATATTTTAACTGAAAGTTTTAAGGTTATTTGAAGTAATGAAGAAACAACAGCCAAACAACAGCCAAAGCAGTCATTGGCAAATTTATATGAATGAGGTAGTATGAATTGAATAGATTGCACTGAAAATAGATTTGTCCTTCAGCTTCTGCTAGGGGTAGTGGTGAGAAAGGAGGAGAGGGTTTTGTGATGATGAGAACCACTTTGATATTATTATTTGAAGTAGCTGCAAGCAGAAGCCATAGATAATAATAATCTCCGAACTGTAGAGGTTGAAAGCACTGAGAAGCCAAGAATGACTGCAGCTGCCTTGAGTGGTGGTGGAACAAAGCCATAGAGTTGTGAATAGTTTATGCAGATTGAATATAATCAGAGTCAAAATGTGCAGTCATCAGGTTTGAGATCCAAGAAGCAGGTGGTACACGTGTCTGTATCAGGATTTTGGAGGGGGTTCCTGGTGTGAACCATCTCAAAGAATCATAGACTAAAGAAACAGTTTTGATATCCGCATTTAGATAAAACAAGTGGACCATCTCTTTGAACACAAGACTGCAGTCTTCTCAAAACATTCAGTGAAGCAAATTGTTCCTGTTTTAAAATAATGCTTTAGAGCTCAATGCCACTTTTTCTCCTGGAAGTGCTAAATGGAAGCTAATGAGAGAGAGGAAATTATTTCCAAGTTTTGCAACTGGCAGCCTTTGCCAGAGGATTCATGAGCTTTTCAAATACATTTTTACTTAATTTAAATTGTTGAAAACTGGGCAACCAAATGTGTAGAGAATGTGGCCAAGGTAGGCATATTCAGAATTATGTATGACCTGATTATAGCATTTGCAGATCTCTTACCTGTTTTTAAGAAAAAAAATCTCTATGGAAAATTGCACCAGTATTTTGCATCTTAGCAAAAAATGACCACATAATTTTTAATGTTTTAATTGCCCTGCCCCTTCAGTGGTTGCTTAGTGATGAGATTTCTTAATTTCTACTAATCTTTAATACTAAAGAAGAAGAAATAGTAACAGTATTGAATAAACAATCTTGTGGCTTTGGAGGCATTTAAATATTTTCCTATAGCAAATGAAAAACATTGAATATCCAAGTATATTGATTGTGGATCTGAGAGCAGATCTGTTCCTTCTCAACTAAAAAATTTTATTGGTGAATTAGCAGTTTATGAGATCAMTTTTCTATTTTCCATTCCTGAGAAATAATTAAATATATGCATATATGAATGGTCCAATACAGGATCAAGTCTAGCAAGCATCAGCTGTGCAGTTTCCCTTCCATTTCCCCTTTTAGTTGACAGATTGAAAGAAAGCTTATCCGGAACTGAGTCACTATGAAATTGTAAGCCAAGGCATTGATCCATCTTCCTTAAATTTTTTCATTATAAATTCTATTATTAGAAATTAAAATCTTGGTGTGCTGTCACTTCAGTCCACTTTCCTTACCTGCATATTCATGCCGATCATTAGCTATTCACTGCATGTGTGTGTTTAATAACCATTCTGTAATGCTGCCTTTTTTTGCCATTTTTCACAGTTTAGTTATTCCAGTTGGAAATGAATAAAGCTGCCAAAAGATTAAAGAAATGGCTTCTTCATTATTTAAGTAGTGATTGCTCATCACTGGTCAGACAAGTGCATTGGGATTTAGGTGACCATATGTCAATATCTACGATTTTGACATCTGTATCTAAGCTCATCCTCCTAGGTTCCTTTTATAGAGACAATGAAGACAAAAATGCATTTTTAGGGTGCATTTAGTCATCCCAAACTAAGCTTCTAAAATGGATCAGAGTATTTGCACCCTAGAAATGCCAGGTTTAKTTGACTGTAAAAGGAAACAAGAATATCTAGCCTAGATGTAGGCCTTGTAGATGCCCAGAGATGGATGATATAACTCCCATCCCTGTGCTCAAATTCATCATAAATGCCCAGAGACTTTATTCAGTGACACTGTTAATGGGAATCCACTGGGGTTGTGTTTTATTTGATGTAAAGGACATAGTGCAGTGATGATCATTCTGCACAAGCACCAAAAGCAGAACAGTCATATTAGGACTACTTTTCAAATGGATTAGATTACCCTGCTTTTCACCTTGACTAAGTAGTACCAGGGAATTAGCATGTTCACATTCTTTCCAACAGATCAKTTTGGCAACTGCATTAATACTCTGATTGTAGACCTACAGAGATGGTGTTTAATATTTATGTTGGCAGATAAATGTAATGTCCTTGACCAGATTAGGTCCTACTGTGTAAAGCAGCATATATCATATTGGTATTATTATAATTATAATTATTGTTGTTGTTATTGTTGCTAATAATAATAATAATAATAATAATAATAATAATAATAACAACCCATTCTTGTTTCAGCAAGCTTACAAGGAGCTAGTTTATAAACACTGAAAACAGAGAAAACTGAATGGAAATAGCTTTATTTAGGAATGACACATGGCAATGGACTCTTGCATTAAGAAGGGTTAGGAAAAGTGACAGATGTTGAATGCTGAAACAATTTTTAGATTCTGTAGTTAACTTAGGATATTGCCTTAGTGGTGATTTTTTCCCGTGTGTTTTTCCCCTTAGGATGATTTCCAGCATGCAGCCTCAGAAACCAACTGGGAGTCAGTCACAAGCTCTGTCTCAGTAAGTAATTTCTCACTGTTTTGCCCATGGATGGATTGATAGGGAGGCCTGAATCCAATTCAATAAAATGGCACCTGCACAGAGAAACCATGTATTCACCTTCGAAAGAGGATGAATAAAGTGTTTCTCCAATTCGTACTGGAGTCAAACAGTATGTTATTAGGGATAAAAGATTCAGGATATGCCATTAGCTGTTTAAAACACATTAAACAGCCATTGGGAAACATTTCTTGTTTTCAAACTCGTCCTGCCAGTATGAAAATATAAGATACAAACTYACAAATTTTTAATCATAGAATGTCTTGAGCTACACAGAAGACTGTACATAAAACAGGCTGGCAGGAAAATGWGTCTAGCCTTTCATTGTCAATAGTGAGGATTTGTTTTTAAGTGTTTCCAATAAAATATCTGAAGTCAGATACAGTTATTCCATATTCAGCAGTGAACTGCAACTTGGGACAAAAATTTAGAAGCAAAAGAAAAAAGAAAAAAAAAACCCACAAGTGATCCAGTATAATTTTTTTTCYCTTCATTGCATTTGATTTATTTCATTGGTAAAAATTCTGTCCCCTCTTTCATTTCCCAGTGCTGGGGAATGGCAGTGCAGCATGACAATTCATAATTTGGGCAGTGCTCTTCTGTGTGCTCTGCKAGCTGCTCAGCACCACTTCACAGCTCTTGTTAACCCCTCTTAAAACATCTGAGATGGGGATAAGAGCTTAAAGCAGACTTGAGAGCAATGTCATGGAAGAGAGCTCAGTGATAGCACCTTTGTTATAGGAGCTGCCAGGAGTAGCTGGTGAAGGAGCAGTAAATAAAATGTGGATAAATTCTACTGGTCACGGTACGGTCAAGGCAGCAAGCAGAGAGAAAATTCTGTGCTGCCAAAATTACAAGATGTTAAGCCAATCTCATTTGTGTTTACTCTTGAATTTGCAAATGACACTTGCCCTTCATGATACAATTCATTGATTGCCTGGAACCAGCTGGGCTGAAAGTCTTGAGGAGTGGTGTTAGCAGGGCTGAGATCTACTGGATGAGCCAAGCAGGAGATGATAGAACAGTTTCACGAAAAGACATAAATTCATTTTTCATTCTAGTATGGGCTCAGAAAAAAAAACAATCAATGTGATGGAATATTTTGTTTAAAAATATGGCAGGCTGATATTCGAAAAAGTAAGCCTAGGGCTCCCTCATCAGGTAACTGTCAATGAGATCAAGCATATGGTAAGTGCCATGTTAGTTAACATCCTTAACATCACAAAATGCACAATATACAAAACAATAATCCAGTATCCTTTTCATACTGAAAAATTAAGTTCATCTTTCAACTATATTTTTTTTCTGAAAAAATTTTTATTGATTAGTTGCAGCCAAGGAAGTTTAGTACARATATTACAGGTAGAAAGCTGATGCCCAAGGTCACATGGAAACCCTCAGCTAAACCAGATGCAGAACCTCAGTTTCATTGGTTTTCCCATGCCATTCCCTACCTAATAAAATTCAGTTTTTAACTGGGTGCACATTGCACGCACAAATCTTTTTTATTCTCAGAGAAAATAAGGCAGGGAGATTGGGCAGTTTTTCACAAGGGCACCAAGGAAAAGGTCTGAGGACATCCAAATTCTTCAGGAGTAAAAGATGCAGGGATTCTGCTATGGTCTTGGGAGGCAGAAGGACAAACTCAGGCTTATTAGTCTCAGACAAGATGACATAGAATTCTGCTGATGCTCAGTTAGAGTGGCAGGCATGAGTTTCCTCTCTCAAGCCCACAAGTAACCTGAAGACTCATTTTAGGTTCTGGACACATTACAGCTCTCAGAATGAAAATTTTAGAGTGAGCAAATTATTTTTTCCATGTCTGAGGTCATATTTCAGAATTATTTTTTGTTGTGATTTTTTGTTTGGGTTTTCTCTTAGAAAGTTAAAACAAATACTTCTGCCTTTAACCCATCATGGCAAACCCAGGGAAAAAAATAAAAGGAAAATTAAAAATAAAAGGAAACAAAATCCATTCCTTACAAGGTTAGTTTTCATTACTTGTAAAGCAATTTTGTGACCAACAAAAAACTGATGCACATTGAATTGCCTGTCAGGTTTACAGTAGAAATAGGAGAGTGAAATAATGAGGGAACAGAAATTAAGGACAAGAGCACATACCAAAGGAAGATACTTTTGTGTTCCATCACATTAAAATGTATTCATTGCTATTAAGAAATGCAATAGAGGTACACAATAGGGAAAATCTTTGCTCTTCATTGCTTCTTGCATTTCACTCTTCCTCTTGCCCSCTCTTTGGATGTGATCTCAGAAGCCAGATTACAACGAGCACAAATTCTCCTGAAGCCAGCACCTCTTTCTTGGCAGGACAAAAGAGAGGCATTTGGGTTGGCAGCTTTAAAGTTGCTTTTGGGGCTGTCACATGATGTTGCTGCCAGGAGGCTATCTGAGGTGTTGAAATAATTCCTCTCGATTTGGCTGTCACTGGGTAAAAGGTTAAGCTTTCTTCTATGTTTGAACAAGGCTGCACCAATCTCTTGAGCAGGATCTTTTATATGAAAAGAAAATGGGGAATCCCAGCTGCTTGTGGGAGTTTGAATTGCCCTGCATATTCACAGCCTGACCTCCCTCCACCTCTGTAATGAAAGGCATGGTTGAACCTGTAAAAAAAAACCTTCTTGCACTGAGTAAGCCACACACCTGTGGCCTGATTTTTATGCTCCTGTTTCTTCATCATCCTTACATCATCTCCCTCACTTTCAGAAAGCAGTCGGGGTCTGATCTTTCCCTGTTGGACTGCCATGAGCTCCACCAAGCTCTCCTCAGTAAGAAAGTAGTGCTTTTTTGGTGCCTTTTCCTTTTGCAAGCTCAGCATCTGTGTTATCACACTGCACCCTCTCTCCTGCAGCATCGCTTCAGATGACAATGCTGTGTTCACTTTGCCAGCGTGAGATTTCCYACTCCTGGGACTCCCATCTCTCTGGCAGTGTCTGTTCCAAGACACTTGGAAGTCAGGAGAGAGGCTTTGAGTTATGTCTTCGWTTTCAAGGGAACATGAATTTACACAGGCCTATGCACTGTGTCATTCCTGGCATTCCTCTAGGGAGGCATTGCTGTCACAGGCGAAACTGGGAGGTGTTGGTGGTGAGCAGTACAGCACAGGTCTGCTTCCTTGACTGCCCTATTGTTATGTTTTCTGTTCCTTCCCTTTCTGATTTTTAATAATTTGGACTGTCCATATTTTTGGCAAAYGTATGCAGGAGCATGTCAAAGATTGTTACTTCTGTGATACAGCTTACAACTAAAGACAATTGTTTTGTTTTAATACATATATATTTTAAATTGTTATAATAGGAATTGAAGGACACAATCCTGCAAGYGAGTGAATTTACTCAAATGAGTTGACCCTCCCATAATTACCCAGCTGAGTGAAGTTAATCAGAAAGATTAATAGCTTAATATGCACATTTACTTGGGAGATGAGGCAAAAAATTCACTTTTGTAAGCCGTTAATTTCAAATGGCATATTTCTKCTGCATTACTTCAGAGCTGGGTTTTCATGAAGGAACTCGGGTTTCTAGAGGTTTCTCCCCAATGCTTTAACCTACAAGAGCAAACAACTCTTGTGCTATACTAAGCCTGTTGTGGGACAAAATCATGTATTTTGATTGTGCTCCTTGAGAAAGTAAGAGATCTTCATTAAAAGTTTTTCTTGCATGTATTTTGCATACTTTTTGGCCTTGTGCTTGGACAAGGGAAAAAGTGRTATCAGGATAGTGAATATTGTGATTCTAAATAAACAGTCTTGAAAATGTTTCAAGTCCTCTTCAGTAAAACTGAAATTGCTGCAATCTTTCTGTCAAAGTCAAATTATGCCAGAAGTTCAATGGGAATACTCAGAGAACGGTACTTGGTCCTTATTGGTGGGAAATAAATATTCCCTTTGSTATTATGATACAAGTGTGAGGTTATTACTGTGTTGGTCATCCAAAATATTCATTGTTACATTGCTGAGATCATAGAATGGCTTGGGTTAGAAGGTTCCTTAGAGATCACTGGTTTCAATCCTCCTGCTGTGGGCAGGGTTGCCTTTCATTAGACCAGGCTGCTCACAACCCCCTTCAGCCTGACTGTGAACGCTGTCAGGGAGGGGGCATCCACAGTCTCTCTCAGCAACCTGCTCCAGTGCCTCACAGTAAACAATACCTTCCTAAAATCTAATCCAGACCTACCCTCTTTCATTTTAAAACCATTCCACTATGTCTTATCACGACATGCTCTTGTAGAAAGTTTCTGTCTTTCTTGAAGCCTCCCTTCAGGCATTGGAAGGCCACAGGTAGGTTACACTGATGCCTTTTCTTTAGGCTTTACAATTCTAATTCTCTTAGTCTTTCTTCCATCCCTCTGATCGTCCTGGTGTTCCTCCTCTGATCTCTCTCCAACAGCTCCATGTCCTATCTGTGCAGGGACACCAGACCTGGATGCAGCACTGCAGTTGGGGTCTCAGCAGAGCAGAGGGGCAGAATCCCCTCCCTGCCCTGCTGCCCACGCTACTTCTGGTGCAGCTCAGGACTACATTGGCTTTCCTGGCTGTGAGCACATTGCCAGGTCATGTCCAGCATCTCATCCATCAGCACCCCCAGGATCCAAATATCATGTTTTTTTCTGTTTGCTTAGTAAGTTGTATTTTTAGTAAAAGAGGTCAATTCAATGTCAATTCATCAGTGGTTTATAGTACATTTAATTTTGGGGAATAAASGGCCATTTTTTCAAGTCTTTAACCATGCCAAATTTGTTGTCCAAATTGACCAGAGACAGATAGTCTAGTGGACTTGTTRCATTTGTCTTTCTCTGCTGTGGTTTCTGATCTGACTCTTGTGAAATTACCAACAGAGCTGGCATCTCCATTTCTGTGGCCATGGCCATCAGAGTGCTTTCAAAAGACATTTTGATCACATCTTTGTATAAGTGCATAAATCCCTTGGAGGAGTGCCTGTAAATGCTGACMGTCCAGCAGTGGCAGCGCTTTTGCTCCCTACATCTCCTCTTGAGATTGGGATTTGCTTGGAAATTTCTCGGAAACTCATTTCCTTACAAAAGGAAAACACAGGTATAAGAAAGTGCCGACCCAAAGACTTGAAAAGATGGCCTGAAGTTGCTGTTTCACTCAGCAATGAGACAAGTTTCTCAATGACTGTTTTCAATTGTTTGAAGTGGTGCTGTAATTTATTCCAAGTGCACTGAGATGTATGTCACTCTTAGGGGGTATCCTATCCCTCTCCATCAGTGACTGACCCTACGCTCACGGCAGAAGCGCTGGATCAGACCATTGCTGCGTTTGACACGGTGGAGGATCTGCTCAAACACTTTAACCCGGACTCCTGGCAAGAAGATCTTGAGAATCTGTACACAGACAGTGGGCACCATTACCGAGGCAGGAGCTACCACGACAGGAAGTCCAAAGGTAGGAAAATACACTGTATGCATACTTTGGGACAAGACCAGGATATTCCTTCACTGCTCATAGAAAAGTCCATTGGTCAGATATTACAATTTGGTGCTTATGTTCCTGTTGGAATCAAAGGGCAAAGTACAACCTATTAAAATCAGGGGTATGTCATTTAATCCTTTATCAATTTACAAGTTGGATCTGGCTTGAGAAGCAGACTGAAAGCTGCCCTTTTTTGTGATGAATTCGCAAATAAAAACATGRGTCCAAATGTAAAGACAGATGGTTCTCAGCGTTACCCTCTTAAGCATTGCTTTSTGTGTGAAGCATGGGGCTCCTAATTACCCCTGTTATCATCCTTCCTTAAATATCCTGCTTAGGGACTGTTTTCTGTTGAGTGAGGAATAATCACTTTTATCACATTGTGCTTAGGGAAGCATCTGGTGCAGACACCTGTATGTGCAGCTGGTTTTTTTAGGATGTGAACATCTCACTGTTTTTCATTATGCTGGCAGGGAACATTATTGTGGTTTAACATCTTTGTCTGTAATTGAGCAAAGCACACATTTCTGGGTTGTGTTTGTTTGTTTCCTGTTAGTTCAAATCACCCACCAAATGGTAAAGCAGAGGGGCGTTTCGCTGGCAGTACAAAGCCATAGTGATAAAGAAACACTGTTGAGAAGGCACAGTTGTGCTCTGGGGTAAGCATGCACTGAAGGGCCTGATGAAATTGCCCTTCATGTGCAATATAGATGTAGGAGGTATGTTAGGATTCTCCAGGATAGCAATCACTGTAGCTTTCACAAAAGATCTGAAGTAAGGAATTTTATTTAATTTCTCTTGTTGTTGTCTATTTTCAAGGTGTGTATTCACATGCATTCTTTTTTATAACTTTAAAATTATAATTCCTAAATCACGGTTCCAATTCTGTGCAATCTACCATTTATTTACATCTGAGATCCCRTCCCCTCATACATTAAACATACAGCAAGCTAAGGAGGGAGAGAGAACTTACTTGTTATGAAATGATGAGGCTTTGCTTTTTAAAAGGGATGTATAGACTGCACCTGTATYAGGGAAAACTGTGGAGAAGCATTCCAAGGCACTGAAATACAATCACCATATTGCTGAACTGTCAGCCTGGTCATTGCTGGGCATGAACCACGATCTGGCAGAGGTCATCTGCCATTCATGTGTACACCTTGGCTTGGAGAGTCAAGAGGGGAATGGCAGGACTGTGGGCTGTGCCGTGGCTGTTGTCYTTTGAGCAGGAGAATGACCTCAGTCACACACAGTGCATGAGTAGACCCACTACAGGTGTACAGTTTCCAAGACAGGTTGGCTTTCTCTGTGTCTGGGCTCAGCACTTCAAATGATTCTGTGATAAACCCCTAAGCACCCATCMAGCAAAAACAGAATCCCTTTACTTTGCTCCTTTTTGGCACATCAGAAATTTCAGGCAACCTCAACAGCCCTTCTTGGGGAAAAACTTCACCTAAGTGTCACTGCATGACTTTCAAGAGTGGTTTGATCTCTGTAGGGATCTGTGGAACATAATTTCTCTGTCCCTTATTCATTCAGGCTGGATTTCGCACCAATAGATATGTATGGAAAAGAAATAAAGGGCTTGTTCTGATTTTAAAAGGAGCTGATGACAAACCTGGATCCTGTACTGGTTCTGCTCTTCAGATTTCATTTCATTCTCTGATCATATTTGGCCTAGTATCCCATATATTTAAGTGACCACATAAATATAAGAGGCCATTTGATGCTTTATTGATGCTAATTATGCAGGCTGCAGGTATCAATCTGATCACAGAAAATTCAGATGCATAAAATTTTCTCCATTTATTATAAATGTAATTCAGTTTCTTGCATAGCAAACCATCATAAAAAGAAAACATTTTTCTAGTTATTATTTTAATACCTGATTTATTTTAGTAGGATTTTTTGGTGATKGAGGTTTAGTTACAGGGAAAGGATGAAAAGTTTTATAAGAGTTTTCTTTTTGTCTTGAAACTAAAGGCCAARTTCCTTGACTTTTAGCAGTTCTCTGGACTAAAGTACCTCACCACAGTGAAATCTTTTTAAAATTTTAGTTAAGATATTTTATTTAGTCATAAACTTCTGGCAAGATTAAAGGCTCATTCTTGGATGATGTGAGGAGTAGGGAATAGCTTTAACAAATCTTTAAATTAGAAATGCTTGGTGGTTTTTAAAAACAGACACTGTGGATCTCTGAGGAATGTTTATGGGCACTAGGATAACCTTGCAGCAAAGAGAGCAATAGATTATATCATAATTTATTTCAGATACCTATCTGTTTCTGCTTCCAGCTTGGCTTTTATTTTTTTATCYGAAGTTAGAACAGCCCTGAGGCAGGTAAGAACAATTTGATGTAATCTCTGCCTATCTTTCACAGCATTTTTGGATCACGCCATATAAATGGTATAAATTAATCACTAATCATTTTTCTCCTGACCAAGTTTCTGCCCATACCAAGTTCTGGCACAGAATTGAGCTAAAGAGGCAGTTTGCTGAAKACTAATTCTAATAACAGGGATAGATAAAAATTACATTTAAATGGTATGTTTTCTTAATTTGACAGTTAATCTAAAAATATCAAGGGAAATCAAATAAGAAGGCAGTATTTTATCATAGCTGAAACTGACAGAATCAGGGAACAGATGAAGTGGAAAGGCACCTCAAAAATTTAAATGCCCCTGCTCAAGGCAGGGTCATCAGTAGAAGGTTGTTCATGACCATGTCAAGTTTTTTAATATCTCCAGGAATGGAGGCTGCTCAAACCACTCTGGAACCACTCTCTGAAAACAAACAAGCAAACAAACACAAAAGGTAGCTTTCAACATTTGAACAGGTTTTCCTATGTTAAAATTTAAGTCCAGAACCTCTTGTTCTTTCAAAGTAGACTACAGCTCCATCTTTGCTTCCTCCCATCTTGGTGGATTGATGGGCCAAGGCCAGTTATATGAGGTTCAACAAGGCCAAGGTTGGGTCCTCCCCTTGGGTCAAAAGAACCCCAGGCAGCACTACAGGGTGGGGCAGGGGCTATGAAGGACCTGGGAGTGCTGGTCAACAGCAGCTGAACATGATCCAGTGTGTGCCCAGGTGGCCAAGAAAGGCCAGTGGCATCCTGGCCTGGATCAGCAATGGTGTGGCCAGCAGGACCAGGGCAGGGACCGTCCCCCTGTACTCAGCACTGGAGAGGCCACACCTCGAATCCTGTGTTCAGTTCTGGGCCCCTCAGTGCTGGAAAGACATTGAGGGRCTGGAGCGTGTCCAGAGAAGGGCAGTGGAGCTGGGGAAGGGTCTGAAGCACAAGTGCTGTGAGGAGCAGCTGAGGGAGCTGGGGGTGTTTGGCCTGGAGGAAAGGAGGCTCAGGGGGGACATTGTCACTCTCTGCATCTGCCTGAAAGGAAGGTGCAGCCAGGTGGGGTCAGTCTCTTCTCCCAGGTAAGGAGTGTCAGGATGAGAAGAAATGCCCCCAAGTTGCACCAGGTGAGGTTTAGACTGGATATTAGGGAAAGGATTTTCACAGAAAGGGTGGTCATGCATTGGAACAGACTGYCCAGGGAAAGTGGTAGAGTCGCCTCCCATGAAATGTTCAAAAAGCACATGGATGTGGCAYGTGGGGATATGGTTTAGAGATGATTATGGCAGTGCTGATTTATGGTTGTATTTTTGATGGAGTTTTTTTTCCACGCCTAGGGATTCAATGGTTTTATGTATTTGTACACATCAATATATACATGCATCGATATATACATCTATCCCTTCCTGGGTATTTCTTGCAGGTACCTGAAAGTTGAAGGGTGTGTGGATTTAATCTGTATTTATGATAGCTCCATTCAGTCTACAAAATCTGATCTCACACTTCTACAATACTGATGCAATTCTATTAAGTGCATTTCTTTCTATTGAAATCAAAATTGCATTTCTATTGAAATTTATATTGCATTTCTCACTATTGAAGTGAGATATTGGTATGAGATGTGTCTCAATAATAACTCCATGAAGTTTGCAATTTAATTCTATATATGTTCAGTGAAGTTTACTCCAGTGAAGCAGTGAAAGCTGACTGTAAAATCACACTGAAACCCAGACTGGCAGAACAGGACAGAAAACAAAGGGGAAGACATATTCAGATTTTCACAATCCTTTAATGAGGGGCCTTGCATAATCTATAAACTATGGTGTACACATACATGAAAGTATGAYCAATATTTCAAATAACTTATGCAGTTCTAAATATATGCTCATAAAGGGTTGCTACCAATTGCTGCATTTTAGAAACTCTGAACGTATGAATATTCAGCCTTATGTTCATCCTAGGCTCTTAGAAAAAAAGTAGGTAATATAAAAGTATATCTTTTTAAATAATTCCTTTTGCATTGCTGTAATATATTGCTGACGTCAGTGTCCCAGTWATTTAATTATCACAAATATTAAGAATCTCCAAAAAGATATCACTGGCTATTGGATTATTTAATATCGCTCTTGGCAACAACACAGGTAAAGAAGTAAACATTCATGCTCCACTATTATATTGAACTTCTTGACGAATAAGTTTCTATTATTTTAGAGACTCCCAAGGAGAATTCAGGCATGTTTTAAGGAACCATCTTCATCTTAGCTTAAATCTTAAAAAGCATAGATTTATCTGCTTAATAGCATTAGAAGAGATACTGTTGTGAAGAGTTCCAGCCATCAATTAAATATTATTTAACTTCTCCCACATGCTTGCTTACATTTATTATTTGTTGTTATCTCTGATTCTTTACCTCCCATTAAATAAGGGTTTTTAATTTAAAAAAGACCTCTTCCTGTGAAATGGTTTGTGTACAAATGAAGRAAGAAAGGAAAAAGAATAACTTCACTGTTTCTCATCGCAGAGATAAATCTCAATGTCATGGGGCTGGTACCCAAAGAAAGGAGTTGTCTTTAGAAAGGAATGGGGTGTTTTGTTTTGTTTTCCCATAAATAAACCTAGGAAG